CCCGTCTGTATATATACATTGACGTTGTTGTGAGTGTACACCTTTTTGTTACATCACACTCCCACCTGTATATATACATTGACGTTGTTGTTAGTTTACACTTTTCTGTTACATCACACTTCCGTCTGTATATATACATTGACGTTGTTGTTAGTGTACACCTTTCTGTTACATCACACTCCCGTCTGTATATAAACATTGACGTTGTTGTGAGTGTACAACTTTCTGTTACATCACACTCCCGTCTGTATATACACCTTTCTGTTACATCACACTCCCGTCTGTATATATACTTTGACGTTGTTGTTAGTTTACACCTTTTTGTTACATCAAACTCCCGTCTGTATATATACTTTGACGTTGTTGTGAGTGTACCCCTTTCTGTTACATCCCCCTCCCGTCTGTATATATACTTTGACCTTGTTCTTAGTTTACACCTTTCTGTTATATCGAACTCCCGCCTGTAGATATACATTGACGTTGTTGTTTGTTTACACCTTTCTGTTACATCTCACAATAAAATAAATCTTTAACTGTGCATTTACAACGTGTTTGTCTACCTTTTTTAAATTAAATTATAAAGAATGCCCAAGATTACGTTTTGGTAAATACGGTATATAACGGAAACAAAAATTGTGCACTTTTTTTGCATAAACCGCTTCGTGGATTTATGCAAAGTGCACATTCCTTAATTATCGGTTGCATGCCGTTTGAATATTTTCAAAGAAGCATCTATTATATAGAAAGAGTAGACCTTGTTATAATTTAACTTCCGTAATATACAATTAGTATTTTCTAACACTACCAAGAGCAATGTAAGTCAAGCATACGATTCAAATAAATACTTACAGTGCTACATTTGAAATACATTCATGTTTCATCATATTCTAACTTTCTGTAATGTTGACAGTCCAGAATAAAAAGGCGTGTGAGTTTAAATAGCGTTTAGATAAGGCCTATCACGGAAATTAACCCTAAATCATCCCTCAAAGACCCAATTTCACTAGATGTAGGTATATCGATGTCTAGCTATATCTGTATAAATAGGACGTAGGTATTCAATCTTCAATTGACGTTGTTACATGTGTGACCGTTTTACTCCAGCAAATGTTTGTTGTAAGATAAAATAAAAAATGATCACTATCATGTATGATAATTGCTTGAATTTGTTGTAAGATAATTGTTTTTATTCGCTGCAGAATATGTTTCTATAAGGAGAGTAAGTAAAACTTATTGAGTTTAGATGTAATTGTCCGGAGTCAGTCGTCGACCAATTTTACTCTATATTTAAAAATCAAGACGCAATGTAGACGCTTCCTTTAGCGAATGTACATATGGGCTCATCAGCAGATAACCTAATTTTGGGGAAAATTTATATGGCGTTAGCGTCAGAAAACGTATAACGTGACTTGTTTTGCTGGATGATTATAAATAGAACAATAATCCGACTAAAGACTACTTCACGGATTTTAACGATTTAACCATCCTTATCCGTCTTACTTCTCTTCAAACAAGTTCTATTCCCCTAATTACACTGTTATGCAGTCTGCATACTTTCATACTTACTCTGATAACGAAGATCTAAGTGCAAAGTCTCTATTCAAACTAAATGGAAAGATTTCCTGTTACAAGTTTTCCTATTTATATATTTAGTCATTCCAGTGTATAACTATCATAACACATATATTCTCAATGTTAGGTAGGGATTGCTGTTAATTTAAACATTAAGGAGATTCTCCTTTGAAGGCAACTGCTTACTACCTAGGAATCCCCGAGGTAGGTCAGAGTATATTTCCATATGAACAAGATTCCTAACGGTAGATTACTGGTTAACTCCTCTTAAACGTGACCCCAAGGATAAGAAACTCTTTATCAACACTTCCACGGGTCCGCGGGATCCCACGAGATCAGAGACTGAAACAATACATAAGTCTTTAACACAGAGCAAGCGAATCACAGTTTATTGTAGAGTAGGACGAACTACGGAACAATAAGGACAGCAAGCAAGACTGATCGTAATAATTGAGTTGATACACTACAATTCTTACCTTTTCAACGAGTAGTGAAAAATGAACATGAAGATGCCAATTATGTTATTGAAGGGGTAACGTCCCAAATACGAATAGAGTAAGCAAAAACGTCAACATATCCCGTATACATATTGCAACGGTCACGACACATCCCGGATACGATATTAACTGCAGCGATTGACCGCTTTTTGTACGATTGAGACTATTTTTAATACAGTAAGGAGTACTAAATATACTGTAACGTAACTCGTGGGTGCTTCTTATACGTAGAACATCTACCGAATGTGACATAAGCCTAAGCTACGTTTGTTCCGGAAACTTTCTTTATGTACAAACAATTAATAGTATACCGATGGAACTTTCCGTTTACACGAATTACACATTCTAGTAATTGATTGTAATGAACAATATTCCTCGTAACCAAATAATATTAGTTACACATCGGCCGAAGGAAATACGAAATCCTGTAGGGTCATACCATCCCGTATACCCTGCCAAAAATCCGTGTAACGAATTTATTACCCCTTTGAGCCTTTTGTAATAAAAACAAAGAAAAATAACAGGCACAGTACCTCATTTAGTTTCGTTTTATCAAATTCCTCGAACTGTTCTTCCTGATTCTTTTCTTTTAAATACTACGCCCTCAGCATGTTTGCCGCTCGTCTGTTCGACTTTTGTGTGTTGTGTGGCACATAGTTAGCCCTTTTGGCGAGTATTTCTCATCAGTAAGCGAAGCGAAACGTTTTGCCATTTTGTAAACAGCGAAGCAGACGACGAATGCGAGTTGTCTCCCGATGCCCGGCCGCAAGATACAAAGACACGTGACCCGTATACCCCTTGTAAAATCACGTGATTCCACCGTATTACTGCTGAAAATCACGTGACATGACCGTATACCCCTTGAGATTTTCGTATACCCCCTGAGATTTACGAATGCGGTTTGGTACACTGTAGTTTTTAACCAATCAGATTCCTAGATTTTTCTCAAAGGGGTAATAATGTATTATATTATCACTGGTTTTCTTTTTACAAGTGTATCATTCTAAGGAATAATGAACAATGCTTTGTATGCGCATGTACGTGATAATGAACAATTTACCTTATAAACACAAAATATACTATTGGGAGCAATGCTATTTGTCAATCAACAAATGTATGGCAAACAATGTACCTTATACACAAATATTTACTAATGTGATGTAATAAAAACTGACAAATGGTATACTGTACGATTAATATACAATGAATATAATAAACAATATTAACTAACATAAAAAACAATCTTGAATAACAATAAATAATCTTATATTACATGATTTATAATTTTTCATAATGTAATAAATAAATGCACTGTTCCTTTCACACATAGTCAATTATAATGGTCACGCGCCTTTTCCTTATACAGTAAACGAATGATTATATACATGTTTATACATATAGCGAACGGTCATTATATACAAACAAAGAAATAGCTTAACAAACCATGTTGCGTGGTTGATTATATAGAAACCAATGTTCAGTATGAGAAATACATAATTCTACAGCGAGTCGATGAAGACTATGATGGAAGCAATAGTATATGTATGGTTATGTTTGGAATAACAAAACGTTCTCCATAAATACAACACTAACTACATTTTGGAAAATTTAGTAATCATGACCGATGTGTTTATTGTTTGCAAATTTGGGATCAGCTTTATAATGATTGATATTTATGTGAGTGAAACAGAACGAAAACATTGAATTATAGTTCTCCGCCAGGAAAATGGACAAAATAAAGAATAAACGCAAGTAGTTTCTTTTTTTGTAAGTGAGATAAATGTATTACAATACACTTGTTTAAGGTTCACATTCATTGTATATGGCTTATAATTGAGAGCGCAAATAGGCAGGGGAGATTCTTCAGGCAATAAATATGCTAACCCACTATACTCCTCTGCGTATCAAATTGAACTACAGTAAGCTGTCGACGTAAAACAGTTTATAAACAAAACAGCACGCAAGTGTTGTACAGTAAGAATATGCTTACATAATCGAATGCTGATCAATGAGCTATTCTCACAAACAATAGCCATATTTTACGAGCTTATTTCATAATTCAAATCAAAATTATAAAATGATCTCCACAGAAAAAACCGGAAACATATCTATCTTCATACCTATTCTACATGTACAATTTTAACAGTTTTCGCGTTAAAAAGATAGTTTTAAGTTATAGCAGTGTCTGTATATAGCTTTCTAAATATCCAATACAATATAAATACAAATCTATGCACTTAAATACAATGTGCACACATCCATATAAGTAATTAAAGTAGATAATATCCTATCACAATTCTGTTGGATTGCAAAATGGTGACGTTTAACATTGACAAATTGTACATATACGCCTTACATTTACGAAGTGTCAGATTTTTTATAATACAATTTACGCCATGTTGTCAAGCATCGCGTATCGTACGCCATTCACGCTCTCACAGAGTCTTCGATCTTATGTGTGATATATCTTTTACGCCATGCCGGCAATGGGTCTAGGTTCGTATATCGCTTGAAGCTAATCTATGAAACCCAATGAGGGATGAAGTGTACAAAATCCAATATAAAAATTCCATTTTGAATCATGCAAGTTTTCGCATATATATCAATTTACTATGAGGATCCATGACATAGGCGAATTAATTTTGATACAAAACCTCATCGAGGCTTCAAAGGCTTCGTAAAGCATGGTCGGACACACAAAGTCGGATGGCGGGAATGATGCAATTGAACACTTTGACAAGGGATGCGGAACAAGCAAGCCTTGGTCGATATCAATAGCAGGTATCAGGGTTTTGACCAGGTAGCCACGAGAAGGAACTGATAAACATGTTCTGCACAAATTATGTATAAACGGGAATATTACAAGGCTAAAATATGCAAAATACATAAATCAATACAACACGTAACGTTTAAAAGGTCAAGGTAGATTTCCTACCGATGAGAAACATTCTACATGCATCTCTACGGGAGACGGATGGTATAGGAAAATATCCATTTCTTATCTAATCGATCACGATAAAAGGTGATCATACCCGTGGATATTCATACTAACAAAATAAACATGTAGCATATAAATATGAACATGTCTTTCCAACATATTAAAATACACGTGATAACAAACGCGAACCTCCAGCTTCAAAATATTGTGTTCTCCTTAAGTGTCCTGGAAGGGAACTTATATAAATCATCGCTCCTTGTTTATCTTCATTTAATGTAATATTTATATAACGTCAGGAGAAACTTATATATAGTGTCTCATGTCTTTTAGAATTTGCGACTACCACGTGTGGTAACCATCAGTTCGACTGTATAGTTCTGTACTGCGCAGCAACAAATCCCCCATCACCATATTAAGTACAGCTCTGTCAGAGCCGAGTCCTGCCATCACGTGATGAAAACCTTCAGCAATCACCGAATGGGCATATCCTTTCGCCCTCACATCACGAGCATTCGCTCCGCCATCAATGAGAAGTATATCCCTCTACTATTACATCACAAAACAAAACAAAATGCCAGTGCATTGAGAGCACATTTCTTCCAACATGACGAGTTTAACACGTCTTTCTGTCATCACTTTATGGGAATATGCCTCCGCTTAACGGGGATGTCTCATTACACATGTATTAATGCCACTTTACGTTCATTTTTAGAATTGTTTAATCAAAATTCAAAAAATCAGGTGAAATCTTATAAGACGTTTGGCCTACATCCATGTACAAAACACTTTTATTTGAAGCAAAGTTGCCACTTATACATTCGCTTGCCTAAGTAAAGCACAGGCCAGTTTATGCTGGGCAATTCAAATAGAGTTTGGCATTCTTCTGAAAACAACACAAATGCCGAGTGATCATGTCTTTACAGGTAATCATCGCTGTCCCGCCTGCCCTTCTTGTCTTTCCTCGTCACTGCACTGTTGTGGTCATCCACATATTCTGTCATCGTGTGCATCATGGACCCATTCCTGTCGTACTTTTCGGTCGTTGTGTATTGTCCGGCGGGAAATAGTGTCCGCCCGTGACGTATCGTGTTCCGCGCGCGCTTACAAGGTAAACAGGGACAACAACAAAACACTCGGATGAAACCCTGGCGGAATCTGAAAAACAGAGCAAATGTCTGATATAAAAAAGAATGAGGTCAAATTTAAATAATTAAATACAATCTGATGTCGTACACTGTTTTCCAGAACAACAAAGTATGAGATAGGGGAGAGAACAGTTGAACGGGGTTGGTTAGTGTGAATAGATTATGATTAACTTAAGCTTTATTTGGCAATTGTTGAGACAATAGCAACGGAGAGCAACCTGTGACCGAGCACTGGGATACCCATATTTCTCACTAGTTAAAACGACTGTTTTTGTACTGATGTGTAATAAAATACAAAGTTTATAAATGCTCGACACTCGTGGGTTACGCTCACTTATTATCTATGTTATGTCTTGCATATGTAAGCTCATTTGATTGGTCTCAGTTATGATTGTTATGAGTTATGATCCAAGTAAATGGATTGTACATTTGTATGTTTTGTCTACTCTAAAATACATAGCGTGTCCCAAAGTTATTGTCCGCAGCAGTATGTCCTCGCAACACCTAAGGACATAATGAAGATGGTTGCCGAGGGAGTCACTACTGCAAAGGAAGAGCACGTAGGCGACCAAAGGAAATATAAATGTCCCAAGGGATTTAATGATGACAGTAGATCGAACAGAAGACACAGAGCCTTCTACAGGTGAGGGGATTCGACATTAGCAGTCTTTTACGTATATGTTTACCCAAACCTGGCTGGACGCTCAGAAGATCTATATACATTTTTCACTTGATGGCTTTGCGCAAAAACTAAAGAAACATTACTTTTAACTCTGACGACTCTTGGTCGCGCTTAAAAGTATTTTTTCCTTTCATGCAAGGGCCTTTCAATAAATTCTGTCACTGCACAGCCACCGTACAAACGGGTAATACAATTGGTTAGCGCCTAGGCAGACTGCAAAACCATTAAAGTTTTACAGAGACAATGTACTGAGGTCTGTCAAACATGTCTGATGAAAAAGCGTTAAAGTAAAGGGTTGAATGGCATCCAGCTAATTTACGACAATGCTTCTTCTCACAAAAGCGAAATTGCACAGGTGTTTTAGAAACAAGAGAAAGTATAACAGATCGACCACCAATCCTATTCACCTGATCTTAGTCACTTGGGACTTCTCCCTGTTTCCTTTACTAAAGTAATGCTCTCTGGGAAACGGGTTGCCTTTAGGAGTGCTCTGAGCAGTGCGGTCTTCGAGTGTCTCACCAGTTTACCAAGGAAAGACTACCGCACAGCATTTACGTCATGGATAGCGCGATTACGAAAGTGCGTTTCTGCTAAAGATGGATCCTTTAAAGGATTGTAATAGAGAAATCAATGTGATTCCTTACACTAGTGACATCATTTATTGAATGGCCTTCGTATAACATACACCTGAGAACCAACTTTTTCATTTTAAGCGAGACTTTTCTTTTAGTAAATCACAAAGAAAATGGAGCGCAACGGAGAGTCGTGAAATATTTATTGGTAGATCCACAAGGTTTGTTTAAAACCGCATAGATATTATCAGATTTTTTCTCTCTCACTTTTGTTGAACTTCGGAAGCTTCCAGAATACCTTTTCCTCATTTTTAAATAGTTAGTAAAAGGGTTAGTTGCCACTTCAATTTCTCATTACGACATGCTGATAAAGATTGATCCCTTCTCCTCGTCTCTTAAAATAACACGAGGAGGGAATGCATTTTCCTTCCTCGAACCTGCGAGGAAATAACACGTTAACCTCGTACCCTCTTGATATTCCGTAACATAAAAGAAAAACGTTCAAACACGACCAGTAGATGAAGTTGAAAAAAGCTGATGCAAATTACACATTTGTAGTTTTTGGATTAAAAGTAACAAAACATATGGCACATTGTCCTATGTGTGGTTCAGGATTGATCAATTTTTCATTTTTTTTTTTTATATAGATCGTACAAATGAACATTTTGGTAGAAAGCAATACTTCCATATTCACATACAACTTGGAACTTCTGAAAATTTTCTCAGGGATTTCCGATGTTAAGATGGGAACCTGACATGAAGAAAAGGTTAACATCATTCCTCTACAAAGTTAGGGTCAATCCCTACGGAAAACCAAAGGTAATCAAAACACAATAAATACAACAATGTATGTGTAGAGGATGCTAAGATCGGAGACACTTGTTTGACAATTCATTTGATTGTGAATGTAATCGTATTGACGACACTGATGTCGGTGTGGAATGTGCGCTTACAAAAGTCCTAGTTTCCTTTTGTGTAATAAACTTATTACACAATGCTACCATCATCGTGCAAAATACATTTCAACTAGAATTCCAACTATTATTTTGATAACAAATATGACATTTATGCATGAGGAACTATTTTTATTTAAGATTTAATCAGAAATCAGAATATGTGAGTAATCTCATTTTAAATACGTTAATTTGCATACTTCTTAAGACGATCTGTTTTGCATGCTTCCTAAAATGTTGAAACCAACGAATGATATGCTTTAAAATGAATTATATTGCAAATTATGAATCCGGTAAAATCAAATAATCATTTTAATTAAAATTAAATTAAAAGCTTTCTTTTCCCTTTTCCATTAAATTATTTATTTGATTACGAAAACTACTGAATTCACGTAATCAAATAGTTTTGTATATAGCATGCTGAATGACATTATAATATAGTTTAATCCCAAAAATTGAAATAAACCAAGTCACCATATGACAATGAAGAGAATCATGTTTATTTTTTAAAGGTGTTTCTTTACACCTCCAACGAAATGCTAACAAACAAACATCAATGTTCGTTTGAAATCCTTCGGAGCTATCTATAAAGAATCCCAAGACTACCAATACCTAGCCCCCTTCTACGCGATCGTTGGGGTCCATCTGTCTCTTCCAATTCCTAGCCCTCTTCTACGCGATCGTTGGGGTCCATCTGTCTCTTCCAATTCCTAGCCCTCTTCTACGCGATCGTTGGGGTCCATCTGTCTCTTCCAATTCCTAGCCCTCTTCTACGCGATCGTTGGGGTCCATCTGTCTCTTCCAATTCCTAGCCCTCTTCTACGCGATCGTTGGGGTCCATCTGTCTCTACCAATACCTAACCCTCTTCTACGCGATCGTTGGGGCCCATCTGTCTCTACCAATACCTAGTCCCCTTCCAAGCGATCGTTGGGGTCCATCTGTCTCTACCAATACCTCGCCCCCTTCTACGCGATCGTTGGGGTCCATCTGTCTCTACCAATACCTCGCCCCCTTCTACGCGATCGTTGGGGTCCATCTGTCTCTTCCAATTCCTAGCCCTCTTCTACGCGATCGTTGGGGTCCATCTGTCTCTTCCAATTCCTAGCCCTCTTCTACGCGATCGTTGGGGTCCATCTGTCTCTTCCAATTCCTAGCCCTCTTCTACGCGATCGTTGGGGTCCATCTGTCTCTACCAATACCTCGCCCCCTTCTACGCGATCGTTGGGGTCCATCTGTCTCTTCCAATTCCTAGCCCTCTTCTACGCGATCGTTGGGGTCCATCTGTCTCTACCAATCCCTAGTCCCCTTCTCCGCGATCGTTGGGGTCCATCTGTCTCTACCAATACCTAACCCTCTTCTACGCGATCGTTGGGGCCCATCTGTCTCTACCAATACCTAGTCCCCTTCCAAGCGATCGTTGGGGTCCATCTGTCTCTACCAATACCTAACCCTCTTCTACGCGATCGTTGGGGTCCATCTGTCTCTTCCAATTCCTAGCCCTCTTCTACGCGATCGTTGGGGTCCATCTGTCTCTTCCAATTCCTAGCCCTCTTCTACGCGATCGTTGGGGTCCATCTGTCTCTACCAATACCTAACCCTCTTCTACGCGATCGTTGGGGCCCATCTGTCTCTACCAATACCTAGTCCCCTTCCAAGCGATCGTTGGGGTCCATCTGTCTCTACCAATACCTCGCCCCCTTCTACGCGATCGTTGGGGTCCATCTGTCTCTTCCAATTCCTAGCCCTCTTCTACGCGATCGTTGGGGTCCATCTGTCTCTACCAATACCTAACCCTCTTCTACGCGATCGTTGGGGCCCATCTGTCTCTACCAATACCTAGTCCCCTTCCAAGCGATCGTTGGGGTCCATCTGTCTCTACCAATACCTCGCCCCCTTCTACGCGATCGTTGGGGTCCATCTGTCTCTTCCAATTCCTAGCCCTCTTCTACGCGATCGTTGGGGTCCATCTGTCTCTTCCAATTCCTAGCCCTCTTCTACGCGATCGTTGGGGTCCATCTGTCTCTACCAATACCTAGCACCCTTCTACGCGATCGTTGGGGTCCATCTGTCTCTACCAATACCTAACCCTCTTCTACGCGATCGTTGGGGTCCATCTGTCTCTACCAATACCTCGCCCCCTTCTACGCGATCGTTGGGGTCCATCTGTCTCTACCAATACCTCGCCCCCTTCTACGCGATCGTTGGGGTCCATCTGTCTCTTCCAATTCCTAGCCCTCTTCTACGCGATCGTTGGGGTCCATCTGTCTCTACCAATACCTAGTCCCCTTCTACGCGATCGTTGGGATCCATCTGTCTCTACCAATTGTGGACAGTAGGGCTGCAACGATACATTTACAGGACGATACGATACGTATCACGCTACTGTGATTACGATACGATACGTATCACGCTACTGTGATTACGATACGATACGTATCACGCTACTGTGATTACGATACGATACGTATCACGAAACATTAAGTAACAGTAGTAGCAAAGAGAAAATATATGTGACACGTTTTAGTTTTAGTATTACAACAGGAAACAGACTTGGTCCAAAATATGTATTTTCACACAATTCACGCCTTTTAAAGTGCATGCCGAGCTGAAGCTGTCACTTGCCATGTGGGAACGAATATGAGTAGACTAAAACAAAAAACGACAAAATCTGGAAAATATCATTGGTGTATCGTGACCTCCCAAACCTTTTGTGTATTGTACCGACGATCCTCGTGGACAGAGACCGGATACATTGTGTATTGTACCGACGATCCTTGTGGACAGAGACCGGAGACATTGGGTATTGTACCGACGATCCTCGGGGACAGAGACCGGCGACATTGTGTATTGTACCGACGATCCTTGTGGACAGAGACCGGAGACATTGTGGATTGTACCGACGATCCTCGTGGACAAAGACCGGAGACATTGTGTATTGTGCCGACGATCCTCGTGGACAGAGGCCGGAGACATTGTGTATTGTACCGACGATCCTCGTGGACAGAGACCGGAGACAGAGGATGTCACTGATTACTCTTGGGTAGGGATGTACCCTCGGGACGCTGGACGCAGATGTTTCAATACTTATTGAGCCAATAGGACAAAAAGTAAATTGTGCTGGTAATTACGACATTAGTTTCCGCCTCCGCATCAATATAACCAGAGTTACTATGGAAACAAGCACGGTGTCATCTAATATACGCAGCGGTAATCGGTCGGTAGGATATTGCAGCAGTACCACGTGACTGTCACTTGGCATCTTACAGGAATCTAATATATTTCTTATTGGGGAATTAATATCTTTTTCATTTATGTCAAAGCGATAAATGTCCAAATATAAGAAAATGTGTATCAGTGAATTTTGTCACACAATGAAAACTGGGATATCTGTCGTACTACAGCTTCCATTAGGTCAAACATTCATTAAAATGGCGGCAAGCATCTTACCCAGATTGTGATTGAGAATCTTTGCGAAAATGAGTCTGTACTTTCATAGGTGTCGTAATATTGAAACATTTCGACGGTGTTCCTAATTCTAAAGAGGGCAATGAACAATATTGACCATCGATATTAATTACGCAACCAACATTTCCCGTATTTTACTGGATATGGAACTCCAGTGATCATCAATTTAAACTATACAATCATATCCTTCTATCACTCTTTATTAGACAGAGAACTGTAATGACTTTCAACATTAACTTGTTTATCATACTAAACTCACTCACTCACTCATACCTTAACAAAGGACCCAGTCAGTCTTGAAACGTTGCGACACGTTTAATACGTACATTATTTGTGTATAAAGTAAAACTTTGATATTACATATGTCCAAAGTTATGAATCTTATCGAAGATACAAAACTGTCCTTAATGGGGGCAGGGATTAATCTGATCATTAACCTATCTTTTGTGTGTGCAGGGAATCTATTAACTATTTATTACATTTTTGAATGCAAAACGTTTTATTTTCTATTTTATTTTATCTTATTTTAGCATCCGCTGTAATTCAGTTCATGTAATATTCAAATTAACACCGGATATTGGAGTATTGGATAACATGTAACAGAATATTCTAGCGCCTGAAGTATCAAATAACAAGTAAAGAATAGCCTACAATTGTGTTCCTATGCTCGAGGAAAATACAGTCTGACGCGTACATCGTCCATATAAAGGCGATTCATGTCTTCAAAAAACATAATGAAAATCTGGAAAAACGACATCCTGATGTTTCTCTTTTTAATTTTGACATGACACACCTGTTAGTGATCGTCCTTGCGTTATAATTAAGTAATGGTATTGGTTAGTAATAATTTTGCGCCGTGGAAGAAAGCATACACATTTCTTAGTCTTGGAGTATAACCGGAAAACTACGTTTACCTTCATTGCGTCAAGCTGTTGTTGTGTCATCGCTGCATTATATTTGGTATCAACTTAATTCAACGTAATATGAATTCCTTTAAAAAGCATGCCCTTCACGATCTTTCAGGAAAATTAAAGGGTTGCAGGATAAAACGAAGTAATGATTACAGCGGCTTATGATACAGACGTTGTTTGGAAACGGGAGATGACGAACCTTGGCGAGCCATTATATCCTCTTTACAAGCACCATTGCTCTAAGAAACAATGTGTTTTAAGGCCTAACGTATATTTCTTTCTTCGTATTTCTCTTTTTTATCCTTGCACGATTTACTTAAAATATACTGCATATATTATCTTTTGTAACTTGTAGTTGTTTATATGTTACTTTATTAAGGGTTGTTATAGGCACTTTTCATTTTCGATGCATTCTTTTTTTTTTGAACACAAGTACAGCTTATTAGTCCTAAAATAACGAAATGATCAGGTGCTGTAATATATGGTTAACTCGTTTGGCTGTCTTTATCAGATCCTAAATTTTCTAATAGGTTTTACATATTTCATATTCCCAATGATTATTTTTCTCTTTTTACTACACATAATCTGTAAGCTGGAAAGTGCATTTATTTTTCAGGGGGATAAAACAATAAGCACGCATGAACCTTTAGATATATGAAGCTTTGCATTGATAACTTTCGTCAGTTATCTTACATATGGTTCAGTTGCATAAATGCCCTAACAAGACAGTGATTGATTTGTGAATTAGTCCTAGACAGCACCACGTGTTCTTTGTTTACCGTCTGCTTTGGCGCTCCTCGTCTTGGATAGATAGGCATCGCCCGGATTCGTACTTCAATATAGGATCATCAGCATACGTCTAATACTCGGAACAGCATTCAACGATCGTCTCTTTTGACATTTAATTACAAGCGTCAAAGTGAATATCAGGAGGTATAATCTAAATCAGTATGGTGGCAATTTGTGTACGCCATTGTCGGTGAGCCGGCCATAATCCAATCGGTCGGCTCCCAATCCGATAACTGTATGCGGGGACCCTGTTGGCGATCTAAATCAGAAAGTGACTGCTATAACTTGTTATCATCTCGCTGATGTTTAACCTTTGTTTATTGAACGGAAATAATTGTAAAAGTTCAATTTCCCTCGATTTCAGCCAAAGGAAATCGGCCTTTTGCCTTGTCACGGATGTCTCGAGCCTAGCATTGCTGTCGCCAGACAGAGTATTACAGGCGACACTTCACATACGTATTACCACACACTGATTGATAGCAACAATTCCGTTCAATTCGATCAGCTTAACTATGATCGTCAATCTTCATTGAAATGCCTTTTACCTTCTTGTAGATTCCCCAAACGGGATTTCATTATGTGATTTCTATCCAATTTTAAAGGAATAAATAAACGTTGCATGCTGGAAAAATTGAGATACTGTCTTTGAATATCGTGGCTGATTGACACAAAACACATTCTTAATACTTCTGCAGTAATTTCAGAATTCTTCAGTGTGCTATTCCCAGAGGGGTATTTCGATAATTCCTTTAAAGGATAAAACGTTACTTTCTATATACACAAACACACGTATAACTCGGAATTGGTTTCCAGCGTTTACCGTTGTGATGTATAATTAAAAGCTTGAAAAGATTACGTTCTTTGATCAATCCTGAAAAATCATTACAATAGAGAAAAATATCGTTCACAATTCCATTCTTACGTGTTTGTGTAACGCAGTAGAAGTTGCGGGTAATACTGATGCTGATACAGTAATATGATATAGTAATCCGGGCAAGAACGAACAACAGATTCTCAAGGTACATTATCGTATTTTTCTTATCATGTTTTACGAATGGAGACAGAAATCTCCTATTCACAGGAGGGGTGATTGTTTTTGTCTTGAAGCTGGTTTAGTTTGTCTTGAAGCTGGTTTAGTTTGTCTTCAAACATTCAAAATGACATATATTATGCTTGACGGCAGGAAGCAGCGAGGTGAAAATAACATTTTGTATACAAGATTTGAAACTGATCCAATAATAAATTTTGCATTCCGATTTGTTATTATCGAAGTACTCTTGATATGGAATTCAGTGTACGTAAAAAATACGTTTATCCTCTGTTATGTTAAAAACAAACGTTGTAAGCATCTGTCTTGTATTCTAATTCTAAATATGATAGAAGTTACTAAAAACGCCAATGTTTATATATCAATAACGTCACATTTAAACTAAGGCCGATCTTAGCTGGTTCTGTTCGTTTTGAATGATATCACACAAGCTGTGTGTATGATTCTCTAGAACAACCATATCAATGTACGTTTAATGAGGAAACATGTCATGAGATACAGTTTCTTTTACCAAATATGGTTGATGTCAATCATTTATTATTTTCTGTAACAAGAGGCAGTCCTTAAGTGTGTTTCATTATTTGTAGTTCAAAACAATTAACTGAATGAAGATGGACAATGAAGATTGGAGATTTAAAAGGATATTATTATTTTACCGAATTGGTGTCATTGTTGTGAAACATAATACATTTTTAATCAAGAAACGATAAACCATGTTTCACTACCACAGAGGCAATAATTACGTAATTATATCGAAAAAAACCCAACAACAAATATTGCTTAACAACAAGAGAATGAGGCTTAGACGCCATTGTTGTCGTCTGATTCAGTTCTTCGGAACTCCCGTGTGATATCGATTTTTCTAGAGAGGCCCGAATAAGGGACATCTGACAAGGAAACCTCGTTGAAGTTGAATTTTTGTTAATTTTTCCCTGAATGTTTATTGCTCTACAACAGCAAATACATGATGTTGCTTCCCATCTACAATAGGTTACTGCGTTGTTGTACTAGAGTGAACGAGAAGGACAGCTATCGTCACATTAAGGAAATTGCACTCCATTTTAAGATCTGTCCTTACTGTAATGTTTTTTTTCTAAGACCCGCTTAGTACTTACAAAGATATCGTGTTGAAAAATTCATACAAAATGAGCATGAAGATAGTTTTTATCGTAGATTTTAAACTTTCGGCTAAATAAATCTGAAAAAGCATTAACCAACAGGGAAGACAATACTACCGTGTTGTTACGTGATCTTACTTAAATATGTTCCATACTCGTATATTTGCATGCATATTGAAATGGTGCAAGATGATGATCTACAATGCAATATTGTTGTTTGTTTGTTATACGCTGTTCATATTTTCGTAACAACTTCTGCATATTGTAAGCTACATGAAATTGTTAACTCGCCGCTCTCTTCCGTTTTGTCTCGAATGTGTCATCTTGAATGTTGTAAGACATTAGACAGTAACAGGACAGATAGGTTCCATTCTGTACTTACTTTGCGTTCATCCAGCAGTAGATAAGTGGGTTGTACATGGAGTTACTCATTGCCAGCCAGTAGATAATCAGGTAGACCTGCTGGACATTGTTATATCGCTCTATCTCCGTGTAGGAAGCGAATATAAAGTACAGGTGATACGGTACCCAGCATATCCCAAATATCACCACCACAACCACCATCATCTTCACCACCTGTAAAGTATACGACAGGAAAGTCACAGGTTAACAATATTATCTTCAACACCTCTAATATAAAGTATAAGACAGGTAAATCTTAGGTAAACAACATCGTATTCAACACCTGTAATGTTAATTATACAACCGGTAAATCTTAGGTAAACAACATCATATTTAAAACTTGAATACGATAAAAAAGAATACGATAGATTATTAATAAAAATACGTAACTTTCAACACCTATAGTGTAAAATATACAAAAGGTAAGTCAAAGATTAACATAATCATCTTGAATATCTGTAAAATATGGCATAAGACAGGTAAGTCAAAGGTTAACAACATCCCCTTTCATTACTTATAAAGTATAACATGCAACTCATACATATCTATGTCGTGTGCAATCATCTCACCACATGCAAGTAATAATACTAATTAGTTAAAGTTAATCACTTACATATGTATTTGAAATCATGTCTCGTGTACAGGTATGGCGTTTTACCTGATGTTAATCATTATCTAAAATGGCTTATTGGAATAAAACACCGATTATCAATCATAGACGCTCACATGCATTTAAGTAGAACACCAAATTCACATTCTCCAATTTAACTGCAAAAGACATTACCTATCATAATATCAATGTAATTTTATCTACCAGCGCACGAGTTAGAATGGACATAGCAGTGCACCATAGTCCCGCATACATCATCATTTTGCTGGAACGTTACTCTATTAACAAAAAATCTCAATTGCAAAAACAAACAAAAGCGCGCTCCTTTTGATGTAGTGTGTTAACTAAAACAGACGGCCACTCACAGCGTTACTCGCACCGACGAATCACCCACTAATTTGTTAATAGTGAAGACAAACTATCTTAAGTGTAAACATTCCAACTAACATTTAAAGCTCGTCAGTTTATCTAACACTTTAACAAATGCGAGCATGGGACGGACGGATTGGTCGGATGAGTGAGTAGTGATTTTACCAGTGATTTTTGGACAGTGCACCGATAGCAACCTTTCGTTACCAGAACGTCCACAATGATAGGTTAGTCTTTAAAGAATAATGTCAGTGCTGCAGTTTAATTGTTCGTTTGCAAAGCTGTGATTGCACGGGGAGAGAAAATTAACCATCAACACGTATTGATTGTGAGGAAAGGGCATGTGTCACTCCAACGCTAACTTTTTTTTATCCAGAATAAAAGTCCATCTCGTCTTTTCATTACATTTTTTTAACAAAACATATGTGGAACTAGCTCTTTTAATCGCAGGGTTAATGTCAGAGATAAAAGTGATTTCACTAATAAGTGGCGTGGTAGTATGGCATGTCTATAGAAGACGGGACATCTCGGCACACTTCGCTAATAAGTGGCGTGGTAGTATGACATGTCTATAGAAGACGGGAAATCTCGGCACACTTCGCTAATAAGTGGCGTGGTAGTATGGCATGTCTATAGAAGACGGGACATCTCGACACAGTTCGCTAATAAGTGGTGAGATTGTATGGCATGTCTGTATGGACATTTCGACAAAATTCATAAATAATCACTGTATTCCCCGCGCCACTCAGGAATACAAAGCTAGCTAATGCCATCCACTTTTTAATCTGATGATTTCATTAAAACGAAAATTCTGCCAATTTCCCGGTAGGAGGCTACTGCGTTCGCACGCGCCAATATACTAAGCGATGAAATGAGTGGTAACTTACCTTCAAGGGACAGATTCCTCGATCTCTATATTCTCATGAACGTCATATTTCTCAAAAGAAAGTAAGCTACACAAGAAAATAATGCGTGGGGAATGTATGTTTTCCTACGTAAAAAAACCCTTTCAACTGATTTTGATTAATGCTGGTCGTCAGTTTGTTCGCTTTTAGTGTAATATTTTATGGAAATTGTGAAGACCAACGAGGAACCGCTGCTTCATAAGCTGGTATAGCTTTACTAGACGATGGATGCAGTCGGCTAAGTTGATAAGAGACAGAACATTCAACGTATATCAAATTTAATGTCATACATGTAACAGTAAATAATATGCTAATCATCATGTCTGCAAAGAAATAGAGCATCGTTCGATCTCTATGATATTTATTGTAAACATATATAATAAAAGAACACATTACGCTTTATAATATATAAAATGTATATTAAATGATGGGTTGACAGTCAAGTTAAAAGAACTAAATGTGATTAGTAGGAAATCATTTCTATATGGAAACTACAGTTTTTATCTGATATTAAAATACGTTACGTATCCAGAGTGTGGGCACAGAGGCTATCCAGAGTGTGGGCACAGAAAACAAAGCCAACCTCCGACATAACATAGACACCGTAACACAAAAAGAAAGAAAAACTCAAGCAGTAACGACTCTAGGCTTATCATACAGAGATGTTCACATAGAGTGAAACGTTTTTGATGCAAACATTTCTGCACTTTTATTAAATACAGAACGGAAATACGTCCTTTTTCTATTTTTCTCCTAGATGAGTCCTAGAAATACGCAGATGTGTGTTGCAGCGCACTTCATTTTTGGTGTAATATATCTATTACCCAATTACTAAGGTGCAATCTCCTAGGTGTGATTCACGTTCCTCAATCAACACAATTCCCACTAGCTTGAGAAAGTGAGAGAATATTCCCAAAATTTATTTCGAAACATGTTCACTTGTCCACTTGAGATATTGATTGCAATTGGTTTGAGAGCTGCGCAAAATATAGGGTCATTTGACGAAAGTATTAATTGATGATGAGGTTTTTATGACCATTTAAGTATCACCAGATTGAAATGTCTCGTTAAGCAAGAAACCACCTCCGGGAAAAAGTAGATAAGACGAAAAACGAAGCGGTCCCCGGTCTTACTAGAGGACAAACAGTGTTACTTTAGGACCTCAAACTACATTCGTCCAGAGCGCATTCGACAGGCGGGTACATTTTTTCAATTCGTCAAAGAACACAATCATCGTATGGTTGCTTTAAATAGGTTAAAACCAAAATGCATTCCAACAGTCAAGTCATGTGTATATGAACGATTGGGAATAACAACTTGAATTTTGTTTTCAGTGAAGTGCTGACTAAGGCGGGCTGGTGGTTTACCTTGCGTTTGGACTTGATCCGTTCATACTGTACGGGTGTGTTCTCTCCGATAGCCCGACTCCCCCATAGTTCCACCCCTATCCTCGAATACGTCACAGCCAGTGTTGTCATGGGCATCAGGTACGTCACCAAAATAATGAGCACATTGTATCTGCAACAATAAAAAAAACCAGTGTTTAACAACAAAAACAACAACACATTAGTCTTTCGTTTTACTTCTACGTCATAGACAACGTAAAACAAAGTAATGTTTGTAGATTTTGATGTCGTTTACAAACTCAGTGTAAGATTAAGGATTGCACATATAACCATCGAACCAGTGTAGTGATCTGACGTTTGTCAAACTTAGATCAATTTACAAATCAACTGCAACGCCGACAACGTCGAAGAAATCGACGACAACAACGACAATCCCTTTGTACTGAGTTGAAGGTTCAGTACCGACTACGGCATGTAGTCCAGTTCATAATGAAAACCAGCGGTTATTTTCAAAGTTGGATTGGTGTATCGACCAGGACCATTCTTCTGTGGTACACATGTATGGATGGGTAGTGTTTGAGACATCGGCACGGCATGTGGAGAACAATGTGGAGGGCCTTTACCCACAAATCGTAGAAGTAGGGGAAACGGCAATATCCCTCGTATGATGTGGACCGAATATCTTATATAAACCTATTACTCTGCCGATAGTTAAGTGCTGAGCGTTTATCTATTATGTAATGCTATTGTTTCTGACCAGTTATTGCTTTAACACAACAAAAATGTAAAGTAAATTGAACCTTCAATATTCCAGACAATAAAATCATGTCGTCATGAACGTTCGATGATCGCCTATGGCCACTCTAACAGAACGGGTAGTATGATATTGCTACAAAGATAAGTGTGTTTTTAATGGCTGTTGAAGACAGGAATATATTGCCACAACCAGCCTCGGACAGACATGTCAAAGTTAGGTGAGGACAGACAGTTAGACCCTCGAGGCCCTCCGGTACCACTCTCATGTGAGCCAAAATAGAATCAGTGCTGAGGGAACGTGACAACAGGACTGACACGTTGTGGAGACAAACCGTGTACTTGTGGCCTAAAACCCTAGCATAGAATGTATGAGGATGTGACCCGATCCCGAGAGTATCAGCAGTTATATTTGTATACTTGTTTTATAAAAACAGATTTGTGATAATTATTAAATTATTTGTGGTAATTTAATTATTTATTGCAGCATTCCCAATTAATGTACATTGGGTTCCTTACGTTTTCACAGCAAAGCATATGTGGTATTCAAATTCAAAAGTGGGCTTGCAAGAATTTAAAAAATATTACATAAACTTATGTGAGATTCTACAAGAATGTAGAATTCGGGATATAACATATTCCTCAAACTCGCTCCTCTACGACACACATTGCTGTACTTTAACCCCATCCAAAGTCTACATTTCAGCTATCAAGTATAATTAATAGGCATATTTCAGAGAAATGGGAGAAATATGGCAATGAACAGGGAGATTTCATTGATAACGGATGATAGATAGGTTTTTGGGGATACAGTTTACATATGTAGATGTTAGGTTAATTATATTTACTGTTATGTATGTAGGAGGGTAAACAAGCTGCCGTTACGTCGGACCATTAAACTCTTCAATTACAATACAGTAGTATCCCTACGGCCATCCATTAGCCAGGTGTAATGACATCCTTTCATATTAGCACCATTCAAGTTACAAGTCTATCATGTAACCGATAAAATCCACACACCACATCAAACGTCGGCATTGTAATAGATCAAATAGGAGCTTTAGATCCCGTCAAGTCTAAAACTATCTCCTAGCTAGCTGTGGTAGACTTTTCGGTTAGGACCTGCTATCTTAAGCTCAGTCGTCTTTAAAATATATATCTGAGTGTTAACGAAATTGCTCAGCCAGAGTTATCTTAATGCGCCGATTCCGCAGATAATTCTGTTATGTTTGTAGGTAAGTGTGGTGTACCATGTAACTGTCAGTTATGTACGTAAATGGTCCAGTGTAATGTATTGGAGTAAGAAACGAATACTCTTGTGTTTAGTGCTGTTTATGTATCAATGTGTATGCTGTTTTCGTACGTAACACAGGTATGAGTATATTATTTATTCCAATAATTAAAAACTAGGGTTATGTTGTTTATTTTATTTTAAGTAAATACATTGATGTGTATGATATTAATAGTAAAAACCGTAATATGTTGTCAGGTGGTATTGTATTTCAAAACCATTAGGTAACTAATGTGTTCTTATTAAATATGGTTTGACTGCAGTAGTGAATACAGTTTTGTGATGTATTTTAATCAGGTGTTTAATAGTAAATTCGGTAATGTGTTGTTTCGATGAAAAGATCGCAACCTGACTATCAGCCTTCTTACAGTACTTACATTTAGTATACATATTATATACTATACTTAAAGCCTCTTTTTGTTATCAGCGTGACGATTATTTATTAACAGGGATTGGATGCTCAATACATAACCTTATTATATAAACTCAATCGTAGCAATGACCCTTGTATTCATATGATAACATAACATATGTAAGGTAAGTCATGTGGATGGTCTTTCCCGATGCAAACAGTCTAGTGGAAACGGATAAACCAGAGGAACAAGAAAGAACAGGAGAATGGCATATTAAGGCACGGGATGTGACGAACAATCGATCAGCAATAGTGTATGGAATGTGAACAGTCTATCACAACGACTGTCTGCGTAAGGAAAAAACATCCAGATGATTTTGATTTTCATAGAGTATATTTTATATTAGCATTATAATGCAGCTTGTTTATTTAGATCTTACTTGTATGCAAATATTTACATTTGCCCCCGCATCGTCCCATTACAACAGTGTTAGAGGGCAAGTGTAATTATATAGGCTATAATTACAACTGCTCGACTATAATTACAACTGCCTGTTTCAGGTGTAGGAATATGCAAACAATCAAAATGGCCGCCTGAAATGTATTTTGAGGCAGGGCAAATGGTTTTTTGTAGGAATATGTCTTAAAAAAGAAAAATATGTAAACATAAAAAATACCTGGAAACAGTGTGAAAATAAATCATAAAGTGTATTAACGATGACGCAACAGAAAGATTTTTCTTGACCACAATACAGTGATTTTATGAATATAACGTATCTTGTACATGTACAATGTACCATATTTTTACACTGCATTTCCCCAACTCTCTTCTAACTTCCACTGTAAGTTATTTACGTCACTATCCCTAAGCTATAGTTGATACTATTGGTTACGATGAAAGGTAACAGATTTATATAAGTGTATTAACACTTGTTTCTGTCTCCAATCCAGTTCAGTTGTATACGTTTTTATATAATTTACACAATGACTTGCAAACAGCATTGTTACCGAAACCCTTGTTTTGTAGCACAGTGACAGACCTCGCCTGACAAAGCTAGTGTTCGTGTTCTCTGTTTTTTGTTCTGTATCTAAAGCCTTCCTTTAAAAGGAGAATGTCACGTAACTCTTTTTGACTCAGTTCGCCACAGTTATTTTCTTCAAATTAGAATTCGCATAACTGAACTAGGTCGATTGTTGTGATCTTCCTCCATACAATAGATGATTTGGTGTATATATGACAAAATGATAGCTCGATGAAGAAAAATCTCCTATTCATCACTAACTGTGTAAATACTGGAAAATGTTTTGCGCAGATAATATACCCCATATTCTGAACAATATATACAACGGAAAAGAAAGTCACACGCACGTAAGGACGTCTGGGATATTTAAAGCAGGAAGAAGTGTTCAAAGCTACAAGCTTACTTTGAGACGGAATCCTCTTCACATAAGCTAAAATATACTAACAAAATATGTCAGCAAAAAATTGAAAGTTTTTTTAAGTACCTTCCTAGCGCTTTCACCTCTTTAGAGGCTTTAGAGGTTCATCAGGAGAACCTGAATATGTATATATAATCAAAGCGATGAATCTCTGTTTACATAAATATACACTTTTGTTTTCCGATATCGGAATTACAACATGAAATGATGATGTAGGTTATTTGATACGGCGGAAAAAGAGAAAAGTTCTTTTACAAAATGACAAAGAAATAAAAATAAGAAGGAATGCAAATCATTATCCAGTCTTCACTCTAAGCAGAAGCGGATCGAAACCATGAGAAACCTTGTCATGAGAGCCTAAAACTTTGGCAAGGTGAGTTGGGAAATCTATACCCCAAACTTGGTCCTGATATGGACTCGGGAGAAGGAGTGGACCAGAACACCTAGCGAAACAAGACTTGCGCATTGGGAGATACTTTAGAATGTAATGGAATCACTCGTATATAACGATTATTTATGATAGAGTAAATGGAGTCTTGGATTTCGGGTTTGATGCAAAATAACCAACAACATGATGTTTTCAATTGTCAATGTGGTAGGTGGCACTTACTATGTGACAGACACAGATGTCTTGCATATCTTATTATACATTAAACAGCAACTCAGGACGTCTTTGGTTTCTGTTTTGACCATAATCTGTTAGATGAGCTCTGTACATGTAGCAAATGTAACGTCACTGTACCAAATCGGGACACGTTTTAGATAAATATGATTGTTCATTATTCATAAATAGATACATGTACTATCAACTTTTCATTTCTATCACAATTTGATAATTCGGGAGCGTGGTTCTATAAAAAAAACACCGCAAAAATACCACCAGAGTTATGTCGGCCCTTCAACCGGCGTTATTGTACCCTGAAAGAGACACTTCCAGTATTTTGGCGAATATTTGACGATAGACGATCAATATCGGCAGAAAATATGGATAGTTGAAATATTTTAGAGTCAACGAGGATTCTGATTAAATTTCTTCTCCAAACTAGCATTAGTTTTGAAAATGATATCCAAATAGATAGCGTCGCACTGCACGTAATTCAGGAAAGTCTTGCTTTGGTAATTATTCTTATTCTTATTCCAGCCAATAAAGCTTAAAACAAAATTAAATATCATAAATAGTAATATCAGATACAAACAGTTTACATAAAAGTACTTCTTTACATTGAATGACAGTTTATTCGGCGTTTTCCCACAAGTGTCCCGTTTAGGGTACTGTCCCGATTTGGGTACAGTGACGGTAGTCGTTTATGTTATCATCTGACTCATAGCCAGGTGC